ATCACGCCCTAATGGCCTCACCTGGGGGTTAGGATTTCAACGTAATGAATTTTAGGGGGACACAGACATTCAGTCCATAGCAAGTATGGTCTGGGCAAGACTGACATTTCTGTGGCCACATATACTTAAGGGTGACTGCACGGAGACCAACTAGGCCACCACGCTCAGCTGTCCTCAGGCTCTGTGGCCTCTTCGCTCTTCCCTCTCTGGGGGGCCAGAGACCAGGGAGGACCTACTTCTGGCAGGCCCGTCCCGTCACTGCTCCCTGTCTTCCAGTTTGCTCACCGGCACTGGGGCCACCCTTCGTTGGGAGAGACACTTGCTTTCAGTTCGGGAGAAGTAGTGGGTGGGGTGACAAGAAGTCAGAAGTCTCCTTGGCCTCGGGCATAGACCAGACTCACCCTGTTAACAGGGAGCCCTATGTTTGGGAGAGTAAAGCCTTTACTAGACTCCTCTTTGAATCAACTGGTTAAAACCCCAAGAGAAGGAGGGTGTGATTAGCACCACCCCCCAGACCACCTTTAAACCTGTCTTCAGAGGTCAACAAAACCTCATTGTTATCATCAGCCATACACATGTCTTGTACATTGCTGTTTCCTTTTCCTCCTTGAAACCTCATGCCCCAGCAAATTACTAAAAAGCACGTGCCGCAGTGTCCCCTGGGACATGCTGTTCCCTCATAGATTGCAATTTTTACGAGCAAAGTGGATTATGTCTCGCATTCTCCATATTCCACCACCTTGTGAGACATCATGAAAGTCTCATTTTATCTGTTTAGGATTTAGTCCAGGCCTTTGATATGGAGCATGTCGGTTTGTAAATATTCTCCCAACAGGGAGAAGAACGGCATATGGAATTTTCACTGAAAGAAAACAACTCATACAGCGTAAAGTAAGAATCCTAACTCGTCTTACTCGGGAAAAACAGAAGCTGGCACAGATTTTCATCACAGGACTCAGATGCTCGGCTGGATATGTGACTTGCACTTCTTATCATCAGGAAAATAGGATAGAACGCTCCCTACCACTCTGTCGGCCGGGCACAGCAAGCTTTCTGCACCTTCCAACTCAAGAGTGTGATCAGCAGCATCACCCCACCTGGGAGCTTGTTAGAAATGCAAACTCCCGGGCCCCACCCCGAGCTGAATCAGAATCCGTGTTTTAACAAAGTCCCCAGGTGATTCATAACATGTTAATTTGGAGAAACCCATCTGCAGGACAGTGCTTCACAAGGTTGAGCCTGCATCTGAATCACCCGGAGGGCTTGTTAGAACACGGATTCCTCACGCCCTGCCTCTGAGATTGAGTTTGGTAGATCTGGTTAAAGACCTCGTGATGCCGATGCTGCTGGTCAGCTGCCCACTTGGTAGCTCTCTAGCTTTCTTCTGAATTAGAAGCTCAGGCCCCAGTCCGTGTGCAACATGGTAAACGGGGAGATATCCAAGAGCAGCCCCGATCTGCATACACAGGCAAAGCTCCAGTGGGACCAGGCCAGTCAGCAGTCGTGCCTCCACGTGGCCCTGAGCACAGAGGGACAGCCACCCAGGCAAGTCCTCTCTGGAACACGGTACTGGGCTCAGTCCACTCTCCTGGCTGCTGTCCTGCAGGCTGGTACGAGGCCTCTCCCAGCAGACCCCACCTGGAGCTTGAGGGCTCCAGTCCAGTCTTGAAACTCTTAATCAGAGAGACCTTGGGTGCCTCCTTGTGCATTAACTCAAAGTCAGGACCACTCTCCCTTTTCCTGTCTCCGCGTAGGCTCTAGCCACTTACCCTTAAAGGACTCCAACCAAAAAAGGCCTAAAAGAGTGCCATGTCCCTGGGGAGCCCATCACGCCCCTCCTGATCAGTCTTTTTAATGGGGACTCAGTGGTTGATGCCAAGGTGTACCTACCCATCCTTTAGACAAGGCTTCTTGGAAGATCACAATATGATTTTCTAGAATTTCTTTAGCCATAAGTAAGAAAAAAAAATGTTAACTTTCCCATCCATCAGGGATGTCACTATCTAATAAACCTTCTTTAGATCCTTTTCTAATTCTTTCAGTTATTAAGGCCTTTGGTTTTCTTCAGTCCTGAAATTTTCAGCCTATAAAATCTCAGGCTAGGGGCCCGGGCCCACGGCTTAGCAGTTAAGTGCGCGTGCTCCGCTACTGGCGGCCCAGGTTCGGATCCCAGGCACGCACCAACGCACCACTTGTTGGATCATGCTGAGGTGTAAAGGAAGATGGGCACGGATGTTAGCCCAGGGCCAGTCTTCCTCAGCAAAAAAGAGGAGGATTGCCATTGGATGTTAGTTCAGGGCTGGTCCTCCTCACAAAAAAAAAAAAAAAGAAAGAAAGAAAAGAAAAAGAAAATCTCAGCCTACGAGATATCATTTCTTAGTGAATATTGTTTCCAGGGCTTAAAATTTTACACTGGCAATGACACCCAGTAAAAGGCAGTAGATAGTAAAGATATTATTTTTAAAGGCTGTGCATGCCATTTATATACAAAAGAAATGTATGCAGTGAAATAAACATTGTCCCTTGAGCCATGAAGTCATCTTTCGCTGTATCAGTCCTACGTGGTTCATCGGCATTTAATTATTTAAGCAATTGTAGGCGCAAAGTTTAAAGATTAAAGAGATTGGTCGTGATCAGCTTTACCAGATTTGGTAAAGATCTTTTGAAAAATGAGCCTTTTCCACTTGATTTGAATTGGCACGCTTTACAGAAGAAAAGAGCAAGACATTCAGGATCTAGAAAATTGTGCTTGGTGAGCTGCATTTCCTGGAGATTTCCTGGAACAGCAGTCAGAGGGTTACGCAGAGGAGTGTTCTTGGCCTTGTAACCCTGTACATGACACAGGGAACATTCTGCATCAGTGAGGCAAAATCTGAGCAGAACGTATTAACAGCTTGAACCCCCAGTCTTAATGGTCATCCCTCAAACATCATTTATTCATCTCCTTTTAAAGTTTGGGAGGGGGATGTATCAGGTATATCAACTAGAAGCATTTTATATAAGAAGAAACAGAAAAACACAGCTCAAACTAGCTTAAAAACTACAAGGTACTTATTGGCTGATGTTACTAAAATATCCAGAGGCATAACCCAGTTCAGGCAGGGTTTGACCAAGCAGGTGAGCAGGACCTGGTTTCTTTTTCTCTCAGTTTCAAGATGGCTGCAAGAAGCTCCTGAGGCTACGTGATTTCTCTTCCACATTCTTCACAAGCAGGATTCTCTGTTCCAGAGTTCCCAGCAAAAGTCCTGGGGTTAATTGAACCAATTAAGCTGCTTGGCTAAACTGATGACCATAAACCAGGAAAGGGTTGTTCCAAGTGACTTGGGTCTGGACTGACCAGCCCTGGTGCCAGGGGCATAGGATGCTCTGGCTTAAACCACCAAGCCTCCTGTTAGCAGTGGAGCTGGGCTCAATCCCAGGCAGGCCTCTCCATGGCCGAAACTCGGTCATAACACGTGGGCTCTGGAAAGGGTAGTCTACGTGTGTGTCCAGGAAGAAGCATGCCCGTGCACCAGGGCTTTTATATCCTCAGGGAAAAGAGGATTCCCCAAATCCACTGCCTTTCTCTGTGACCTGAGGGTGGGAATGATTTAGAGGCGAGTTTGTCTGTGGAAGGAAGAGCTGGTTAGGAGATGTGGACGAAGCTAGGAGGCTCTTCTAGCTTTTGGCTGATGAGTGCTTTTTTTTTTTTTTTTTATTGATGTTTTAATGGTTTCTTACATTGTGAAATTTGGGGTTGTACATTTTTGTTTGTCCATCACCATATATATGACTCCCTTCACCCCTTGTGCCCACCCCCCACCCCCACTGCCCCTGGTAACCACAGTCCAGTTTTTTCTGTCCATGTGTTGGTTTATATTCCACATATGAGTGAGATCGTACAGTGTTTGTCTTTCTCTTTCTGGCTTATTTCAAGATGAGTGCTTTTTTTAAGAGTGATTTGACTCAGAAGTAATCTTGATTAGCATCTTCTTTTATAACAGCAAGTTGACGCATTCCTTGAGAATCCATTGAGGTTTTCTATTCCCAAGGCTGGCTTGCTAGCATAGCTTCAGGTGAGCACACTTTCTCACAAATGCCAAAGCTGAGAATATTACATTTCTATCTCCAAGTAATTACCATGTATATCTCCACAATTCTGTATAAAAATTATAATGAAATGTGGGAAGAAAGTGTGCTCCAATAAATAGGAAATGTATGATCTCAAAACATTTTTTCCATGTGTTTTCTTTTTTAAGAAGCATAATTTTTTTTTTTTATTTTGATTTATTTATTTTTTTCCCCCAAAGCCCCAGTAGATAGTTGTATGTCATAGCTGCACATCCTTCTAGCTGCCGTACGCGGGACTTGGCCTCAGCATGGCTGGAGAAGCCGGTGCGCGCCCGGGATCCGAACCCGGGGCGCCAGGAGCAGAGCACGCGCACCCAACCGCTAAGCCACAGGGCCGGCCTCCATGTGTTTTCTTATCAGGGGATATATATATTTATATAGTAAGGAGTAATAATTCTAGAAATACAGATGCATATTGGGCAAAGAATTAAGTGACTTTGTTTTGATGGTTTAAAAGAGTTAATTGTGAGGCCCCAAATTAAACACAGCTTAGAAAATACAAAATGAAACCTGGTATTTAGTTCTCAATTTGGATCTTAAGTATTTGGTCATGAATGAATAATTTTTGGTGGAAATTTATGACAGTGTGCCAGATAAAACATGATTCTCTAAGTTTGGATTCTTTTCTCTTAAGGTTGAAGGAGTTATTTCAGCAGATTTATTATTATTATTCTCTTCTGCTTGTCAACCTGAGAGTTTGCATAATGAAAACAGCCGGTATGTGTCATGAACCGTTTGCACATAAATCCTGAGAAAAGTTACTACAGCCCAGCCCAAGGTTATAAAAATCAGATGCATACAGAAGATGGATTGGACTTACGAAACAAACACAGTTCACAGATTGAGTAATCATGTAATTTACGCCTTGTTTTTCTGATAATTTTTTTCAGAACCGAATGGAGGAAAGCAAAGCACTCTTTAGAACAATTATCACATATCCCTGGTTCCAGAACTCCTCAGTTATTCTGTTCTTAAACAAGAAGGATCTTCTAGAGGAGAAAATTATGTATTCCCACCTAGTTGACTACTTCCCAGAATATGACGGTAAGTCAGCACTCTTCAGCCAGCCTGATAGCTGATGTGTTTTGCTTCCTAAGACCAATGCAAGAGCCAACACAATACAGTCCGCTGGTGCTGCCTTTGTCCTCAAAAGGCTGTATGTTGTGATTGAGGAAGTAATAATTATTGTTTGCCCTGTCTTTTAATGACATGAAATGTTTCATTCCCTAACAATGCTGAAAGTTACAGCATTTTCTTTTGGAAAACAACTTGTTAAAATTTCTGAAATAGGTATATGAGAGGAGGGAACAATCAATAGTTTTAACCAGCTGTGTATCAACCATTGTAGTTCCCTCTGAATCTCCTTCATTTGATGACAGTCTGCTTCTGCCTCTCTCTAGAGAGAGAAACACAGTTTTGTAGTTAAGAGCCCAGGTTCAAATCCCAGTTCTGACACTTCCTATTTATAGGACCATGATCAAGTCACTTAATTTCTCTGGGTCTTAAGACCAAACTTGTAGGATTGTTTTCTAGACTATAATAGATAACATATGTGTGACATTTTAGCATGATGCCTGACTTATGGTGAATGTTTGGGAAATATTTATTTTTTGAGAGTTTCATGGCCCCATGAAGTCCCATCATCCTTAGGGACAGCACCAATCCTTGAAGCTCTTCCTGTGGCACATAGAATCTGCAGCACTTGCTTCAGTACTCATATGGCTTTGCATTATTTACTTCCGTCTTACAAATAGATCTTGCCTCCCGAACTAGACTGTGAAATCCTGAAGGACTGGACACAACACCCAGGCCATTCTGAGAAATACTTGTTACATCTACACCCAGCTTCTCTAAAACACGTGGAAGACTCACCGCCCCTGCCCGTAGGAGCTTATGTGGCAGGGTACACACACTCTCCCCTTACCCCCATTCATACTTGAGTCTAGATTAGGAGTGGCAAACTGTGGCCTGCTGCCTGTTTTTATAAATAAAGTTTTATTGAAACAGCACACCCATTCATTGATGCACTCTGTGGCTGTTTCATGCTGCAACAGCAGAATTGAGTAGTTGGGATAGAGATCAAATGGCCCACAAAGCCAAAAGTATTTACTGTCTGGCCCTTTACAGAGAAAGTTTGCCAAACCCTGGTCTAGATGAATAGTAGTTAAGGGGACAAGCTTGGAATGTGACAGAGTTCCAACTCTGCCAATTACTGGTGATGTTGCCTTGGACAAGTTGATTCAACTACTCAGTTTCTTACTGAGTGAAAAAGAATTGAATGGAATCATATGTGTAAGTCACTGAGCACGTTGCCTGGCACAGAGAAGAGCACAAACCTGGAAGTACCTATTATAGACGTCTGTGTAACCACGAGAACAGACTGTTTGTAATATTACATTATCAACATACGATCTCTGGGATGGACATCAGTTCAACAATGTTTTTATTAGAAAGGTAATTACAGGTTTCACCTGCTATCCGAAAGTAGAGCATCCCTATGAAACCTTTTGTAAGTTGAACTGCCATAAAACAAAGAAGCAATTACCATTAATTTATGTGGGAAAATTTTTTCAGCATTCGCAGACCCCCAAAATAACAGCAAAATACATAGAGATAAAGCACAGGCGCTCACAGACAGTTCAAAAGTGTGGAGCTTGATGCTGGGATGCTGGCTGTAGTTCCCGGAGAAGGGGCTGGGCAGCGCCACTCTTCTGCCAGGATGCACAGCCTCTTTAAGAGCCCACTGCAAAACAAATGCTGAAAATGCTATTTTCACAAAATCCGTTTCAGATTTCTTTCGGTTAGTGACAACAGGTACTCCTGTAGGTCTTCCATAAAAGTGAAGTGGCGTAAAGTGAACTTTTGGATAGCGGGGGAAACCTGTATGTCAAAAACCTAAGATTCAGTTTGGCTTCATAACTTTCTATGAAGATACAAACACATCAGGGATGGAATTTTACTCATCTTTTCATCCCACTTGCATTTGGTACGGTGCTGGGGAAACATTATTAGTTTCGGGATGTTTTCAGGTATTAGCCATAGTACCGTTTTTGTAAGCAGTGTGTTCCCATCCTCTCTCCAAGTGCATTTTCCTTTGTGCTTTGCTGTTCCTTTAAAAAGAAATACTTTCCTAGCCTGAACAGTGTTTTCACTTTTACTCCTTGTAATTTGCCACTGGCCTGCCACCAAGTCGTAAATGCCTGAGACTATTCCCCAGTGTTCCTGAGGAAACTGTGGAAGGAAGTGACATGTTCATGTGTCGTTAACTTGCTCTCCCAACGGGCTAGTTCTTTATACGCAAGGTCTACCTGAATAGGATGGGCACGGAGCACCTGGCTTAGACCCAAACACACCTGCTTACCTCACACACCTAGAAGGAGAGACAGACTCTTAATTTTTCTCACAATTTGTTGAGAATCAGCAGAAGGGAGATGACCTCCCGCCCGGAACATAGCACCCACCTGTGGGCCAGCGTGTTTTCATGACGTGCGTGCATACGGATGACAGAGGACAGATGCAGCACACACAACCACAGCACACTTGGGTTGATTTTTCTGCAATAAAAAAAGACTTTTTTCTGCGACAGGTGTTTGGGGTACTGTTTTTTTCTCTCTGTGCAATGTCGTCTTAATCTCTTTACATATCTCCTTTGTCTGATAATTTCCCCAGATTCCCCATCACTATGAGCATTTTCCTTCCAACATGTGGCCATTGTGAATGTCTTAAAATCTGAAGAGGTTTTTTTATTGTTAATCTCCCCCTGTATACACATAACACACAGAGGAAACTTGGCCACGAAAAAAGCAACAAGACATCGATTGTTATTCACAAACGCACGCAGCTGTCATTTCACAAGACTCAAAGCCCTTGTAAGATGAGCTAAGACTGAAAAAACTCTAGGCCCACTCTGCAGTGGTTTTTATAATAAACATGTTTATAGTATTATAAATTTCACACTTCCATATTTTTGTACTTACAAGGTCTTAATCGTAATGAATGCCATTTTTGTATTTCTCTTCAGGAAGGGAAATTACCATTTCCACATGGACTTGAATTGCAAAATTGTTCATAGAGACTGTGGAATTCTGTTCCTGCTGTGATGACTATAATGATTTCTTTGTAGTTTGTTTATTCAAATAACATAATTTATGCTTAAAAACATAACGCACTTCCAAGTGCTCTTCAGTGAACTTGAGTTAGTTCTGATATTCTTTAGGTTAAAAGAAAAAGGGAAAAAAAATAGACCTTGCTTTCCCAAATAGGTTAAGTACAAAATCATACGGAAATTCATTCACAAGCCAGAAAGATAGTGTTCTTTTATGACAATGAGAGGCTTCTCCAGCTCTCAAAATCTATTAGCCTAATTTTATTTCTTCTTTTTTTGTTTTGTTTTTTATTTTTTTGTTGTTGTTCATTGCAGTAACATTGGTTTATCTATTAGCCTAGTTTTAAATATTTTTATCACTGCTATGGAATTAGTAACTTAACAATAGTACATTGAAAAATATGAGGCAGACATTAAATAATTATATATATCAGAGTATTTTCAATTATGGCACTTTTTCATTCAATATGATGCGAGCCTTAATCACTGACAAAAATTTCAATTCTGGGCACTTAAGTCAAAAATTCAAACATTACTTTTGTTTATTGTACAAATGAGAATAATCTGTTTTCATGGCTCTTTCCTCCCAACTTCTGGCAATGTTGGATATAAGCTCATAGGGGTAATCCCCAATTTGCAATAACGTTGGTTTAAAAAGTTTTCAAGGGGCCAGCCGGCGGCATAGCAGTTAAGTGCGCACGCTCCTCTTCGGCGGCCTGGGGTTCACAGGTTCGGATCCTGGGCACGCACCGACGCACCGCTTGTCAAGCCATGCTGTGGCGGCATCCCATATAAAGTAGAGGAAGATGGGCACGGATGTTAGCCTAGGGCCAATCTTCCTCACCAAAAAGAGGAGGATTGGCAGATGTTAGCTCAGGGCTGATCTTCCTCACACACACACACACAAAAAAAGTTTTCAAGTTGGCTGTCGGAAACTCACAATGCATTTTGTTAGAAATGGTGGTCAGGCCCTCAGAGTTTTCAAAGATTTCTTTATCCCAACAAGGAGATAACAAGAATATTGATAGAAAAAACCTTAGCTGTGGATCCTGAGAGAATTGTGCCAGGGAGAAGGAAGTGGAGGAGGAGAAAGTTATAGCATGACCTCCTTCTTTCTTAGTATAGAACTAACTGGAAGAAAATGGAGGAAATGCGGATATATAGTACAGCAAAGACTGACACAAGATAGGTGCTCAGTACTTGATAGGTGGTGGTGTTTTCATGTTATTAATTTACAACAATAAGTTTTAAATTAATACGTTTATCAGGATCTATTAAATAAGTTTTTAAAACAGCTCTATTGAGATATAATTCACATACCATATAATTCACCCATTTAAAGGGTACAATTAGTGCTTTTTGGTATGTTACATTAATTTTTTTAATTATGGTAAAATATACGTAACAAAATTTGCCATTTTAACCATTTTTAAGCATGCAATTTAGTGACATTAACTATGTTCACAATGCTGTGCAACCATCACTAGTCCCAAAACTTTTTCATCACCCCCTCACAAATTCTGTAACCATTAAGCAGTAACTCCCTGTTTTCCCCTCCCCCTAGCCCCTGGTAACCTTTAATCTACTTTCTGTCTCAATGAATTTGCCTACTCTAGGTACCTCGTATAAGTGGAATCATACAATATTTCTTTTGTGTCTGGCTTCTTTTACTTACCATAATGTTTCCAAGGTTCATGCATGTTGTGGCATCTATCAGAACTTCGTTTTTATGGCTGAATAATATCCCATTGTATGTATATACTACTTTTTGCTTATCCATTCTTCTGTTGATGGACACTTGGGTTGTTTCCACCTTTTGGCTCTTGTGAATAATGCAGCGATGAAAATCTGTGTACAAGTATCTGTTAAGAGTTCCTGCTTTCAATTTCAATATACCTTGGAATAGAATTGCTGGGTCATATGGTAATTCTGTGTTTAGCTTTTTGAGGAACCACCAAACTGTTTTCCACAGCAGCTGCACCATTGTACATTCCCACCAACAATGCACAAGGCTTCAGATTTCTCCATATCCTTGTCAACACTTATTTTCCATGTTTTTGATTATAACCATTCTGGTAGATGTGAAGTAGTATCTCATTGTGGTCGTGATTTGCATTTCCCTAATGATTAATGATGTTGAGCATCTTTTCATATGCTTATTGGCCATATGTATATCTTCTTTGGAGAATATCTATTCAGGTCCTTTGCCCATTTTTTAATCAGATTGTCTTTTTGTTGTTGAGTTAAAGGAGTTCTTTATATATTCTGGATATTAACCTCTTACCAGATATGTGATTTGCACATATTTTCTTGATTCTGTAGGTTGTCTTTTCACGTTCTTGATAACATCCTTTGATGCACAAAAGTTTTTAATTTTGGTGAAGTCTAGTTGATCTATTTTTTCTTTTGTTGCCTGTGATTTTGGTGGCATATCTAGGAATCCACTGCAAAATTATTACCTAAGTTATTAATATATCCTGATAAATATATCACAATCCTTTTTCAGAGCATCTAGGACAGTGCTTGGCACATAAGAGACCCTGAATAAATATAAGAAAATGTAAACCAATTTTTTTTATCATCACACTTAGTGATGGATGTTACATAAAAGTGTGCCCAGAAACACCAGAAGTCTGTAGAAGTGAGGCTGCAGAGGACGATTGTAGATGGACCTGACCTTAAGGAACAGATGTTCTACTCTGAGTGAGATTTCAGTCTGGAGAATGTAAAGTGATCCATAATGGGGGGACATATGGAGGTAGATTGACAAGAGAGCCTAAGTCTGTGTAAGTGTGAGTATATATAGTAAGTGTGTCTCTATGCACATTTATTGTATCGCTGAAACCAGCACTATTAACTCAGTCCAAAAAAGGAAGCTATTACTCCCCTTCCGAAGAGCCTGCAGTGGCTCCCTATCACCCAAGGAATCAGAGCTCAACTTAGTCTGGCCTTGAAGCCATCTGCCTGTTTTCAACTAACCACATTTTGTGGATGGATGGATGGAGATGGGTGGATGGATAGCTGGATGGATGGATGGGCAGATAAAATGACAAAGAGGAGCAGTTACACATAGTAGTATTGGGGAACATGATTGTAACAGATCAAATCTGTAGTGCAGGTGCCGTCTTCATGGGCATTGACCCAATAAACATGTATTGAGCAAACCCATGAATGGATCAGCTGACAAACTGTTCCCCTCTCTTCCCTTGACCAATAGGACCCCAGAGAGATGCCCAGGCAGCTCGAGAATTCATCCTGAAGATGTTCGTGGACCTGAACCCAGACAGTGACAAAATTATCTACTCCCACTTCACATGCGCCACTGACACCGAGAACATCCGCTTTGTCTTTGCTGCCGTCAAGGACACCATCCTCCAGTTGAACCTGAAGGAGTACAATCTGGTCTAATTGTGCCTCCTTGACACCGCCCTTCCCTTCCCTGGTGGGCTACTGAAGCTATACAAGAGGGACTGTATTTCTGTGGAAAACAATTTGCATAATACTAATTTATTGCCGTCCTGGACTCTGTGTGAGCGTGTCCACAGAGTTTGTAGTAAATATTATGATTTTATTTAAACTATTCAGAGGAAAAACAGGATGCTGAAGTACAGTCCCAGCACATTTCCTCTCTATCTTTTTTTTAGGCAAAACCTTGTGATTCAATGTATTTTAAATTCTCAGTCATGCACTCACAAAGATAAGAGTTGTTTCTTTCTCTTTCTCTTTTTCTTTTCTATTGAGCAAAACGAAGCTGATTTCCCTCCTCCTAACCCATACCTTCCTCCTGATTTTTCCTGGGTTACAATGGCCTTTATTCTGTTCCATTTTTGGTCAAGTTTTTCCCTCGAATGACACAGTCAGGACAACGTCATTCGATTTAAGCCATCAACATCAGCTTAATTTAACAATTTGTAGTTTTTGCTGAAGGAGTATAAGTATTAATACTATGGTTTTAAATGTATTGCTCTGGATACACATATAGAATTTTTTTTATATAAACATATTGTCTTGCCTCACTTTGGGCTGGGACAGTGGATGCCCATCTAATGGTTGAGTGTCGTTTCGCTTGGTTGCTCAGAGAACTGTGCAGAAGTCAATAAGGCAAGGGCAGAGACACCATGTGCCATTGTCCTTTCTCCCATCCTTGCTTCTTTTTCTTATTTTCACCCTCTCTTCCTTAAATTGCAGATGCCAAAAAACATGCCAACAGACACTACATTACCCCAGTGGCTGCTACCCAGAACCTTTTCACAGGTTGCTCTTACTTTTTTTTTTCTCAGTTCAAACTTTTCCTCCATTTTTTTCTTAGTGTTTAGGCCACAACTTCTAAATGAGTTTTATTATGGGTATGTGTTGCCAAAGCTGGCTTTTTGTAAAACAAAATCATTAAGAACTTAAAAGAGAAAAGCCGGTATCTTAAACTATAAGAGAGTAAGACTGTGAAGCCTAAAACAATTGACTGAGAATGAACCTGAAACACCAATTGCCAAACAATTGGTAACTGTAAATTTGAGTCTCATGGTCCATTCTTTTCTTTGCCCGTAAGATCACATTGTTTAGTGTCCACGTTCCATGTTGAGTGTCCAAATCAGCAATGTGGAAAAATGTCCTCCGTGATGCAACGTGAAATCTGCTCATATCTCTTCATTTGAAGCCAATTTTTCTCTCTCTATGTTCCTTAAGGTCGAGTAGGTCTGCCAAGAACATTGGTTGATAGTATCATTCTGAGACCTTCAATTTGCAAAATCTGAAGTTAACTGCTAGTTTACCACCTTTGGTATCTTTTTAAACTGGTGACTGGTTAAGTTGAACTTAAGGAAGATTTGTGGACCTAACTCAAAAGTACCCTTTCAGTGTTCTAGAGAACATGTATTTATGTAACTGAACCTATTAGGAGAGATGTTTGGAATTCTATATGTGCAATTTTTCAACAAATGCAAAAAATACAGCACGTGTATTGATGAGCTTCTGTCAAGCAGCTTGAGTTGAAATACGATTTAAGAAAATAAATCATGATTGTTTTAAAACCGGGAAGTTAGAATTAGGCCATGACACTGGTCTCATTTTAACTACAATGCTATTTGGCACAAGTCTAAACTTCCGTATAAATCACTCTTTTGGAATGACAAAAGGGAGGGAGAAAATTAATGGCTTGTTAGATGAGTACCAGAGTTACTCAATAGTAATGGAATGTTCTCTTTACTCTCCCAGCCTCAAACAACACAGGTTACTTGTTTTCCTTGCTCAGATAGCACCTGTAATTTAATTAAGAAACAGACTGCTTATAGGTATAGTGCAATTATGAATGCTCTAATCATTGTACATACATCTCTCTCGATATTGCAGCATCCATACTGGCTTTGTAATCATTAATTTTTTGGCAGATTGAATGTGCTGTATTGATATGTATCTATGTAATTGTATTGTATGTCTTATAGCTAATTCACATTTTGAATAATGTTATTTTATTTACTTTTTTAAGAGAGGAGAATGTAAATTTGTCAGTTTATTTCTGACTAGGGATATTTTTTTTCCATTTAGAAAAGAAGAAAAAAAACAACCTTACTATCGTACAGAGCGGTACTAGCATCGTGCTGTATAAAATCATTTGCACATTCCTGAGTAGAGGTATACTGACTATAAGACCCAAAGGTAATTTCATAGCAAAATACATAAAATCAGTCGGAGCTTTTATACAAACATGGAAACCAACTTTGTAGAACTTTTGCCATTTGACCTAGGATTGGAATATGAGCTTTTATACAATTCATATTCTTATTTGGCAAATGCACAGTTTAGTATTACCTCTCTGATGGCCTTTATTAGAAAGGCAGTTTTAGAAGCTATTGTGATCCACTAAGGAAGTGTTTTAACAGCTAGAGACCACTGCTTGCCTGAAAGGGCAGTCTTAAATTTGGTGCAGCAAAAAAAAAGAAAAAAAAAAAGGAAAACAACATTTGAAGGCCTACAGTGTGTATAGAGAAAACCTCATCACAAGATCATAAGTGTTACAGTTTAGGGAATCAAGATATTCTATTTAATAGAGCTATAGTAGATGTAGTCGATTAAAACTGATCTCAATGCTCGAAGAGGCTGAGCAAAACAGGGAAAGATTGTTCTATTTGTCTTTATGAAATTGGGATGGAATTGCTATGCAGAATTGAGGTTTGTGGCTTCACTGTTCATCTTAGGGTGCATGACAAGATCCCTTCTCTTGAGAAAGGAAAATATTGATCACCCTAGCTGCAGTGACGCATAGAAACCTAACTGTATCCACACTAGTCAATTGAAGCTAAAGGATTTTCTTTTTTGTTTCTTTGGGGTTTTATTGAAGGGGCTAGGGGCGGGAAGGGATTCTTTTCAGTTTTGTATAAAAACAAAGTTTACTCATGCTTTATATTATATCGTGATTGCAAGCGTTATAAGTGTGTGCCACTGGACTCTTATTGTCGATGTTCTAGGTAGCGGAGGCCTGTGGCGAGTTTTATGGTGACTTGGGCATGTCTTATTCAAAAACAAATACACAAAAACCTTTCTTCAGCATACCAAGGCAAGCAGCCATTTCATGACTCACTTAACACATTGCAGTGTACCAGTTTACAGATGAGTTTCCCTTCTTTGCGTGACACAGCAGTTCCAACCCTCAGAGAATTCCTTATTTGTAAATTGGAGGTTTGTACTATGCCTTACAGAGCTTAAATTCAGAAGTTTGTGCCTCATATCTGAAACAAAGGGAAATAACACACTCATTCAAAAGTAAATAAATCCCCTCAAAGTTTTTTTTTTTAAACATTTCCATATAGAGAGCTCTGTTGAATGTCATGAATCGACTGGGGGAAAAAAATCTTAGGAACCTGCATATGTTGTTTACTAGCATATGACATCTACAAAACGTATTTGAAGAACACCTGAAACTTGTATTCTTTTTGTAGATTAACTAGCAGGCCTAATATTTAAAAAACGTAATTCAGCTAAAGGACAATTTACTTTTTGTACTTCAGACTATCTTGATTGTCAAGGTGTATGAATTGTAATTTTAAAATTTATACTGCCACATGATTGTAAATTTTAGTTGTCTTAAGTTAGGAATTGGTGAAAAGCTATTTATGCTGGATTTGGGTCAAAATGACTATTATTTGCAAAAAAATAAAAAAATAATGGGAAGAAAGGGCTGCATAATGAGATACTGCAAGACTCAGATATTGGTTGGAAATAACCTTCAAATTACCCTCAATTTCCCTTTGTTTTCAGTTTCTCAAGAACGAATGAAATGAAATATAGCAGAATGTTAACCCATATAAAAATAAAGTGTACCCAAATATTGTAATGTATATTGCTGCTCTTCTTAAAATTAAATAAGGGTTTAAAACCACTTAATTGGTAATTGACAACATCTCAATTGATACAAATAAGGTGTGCTTGGTATACGTTCATATTTTCTTCCAAAGATATGTCTTTGGTTAGAAACACACAAAAATTAAAACTAGTAATATTGTATGTTTATCTCTCTCTACATATTCCAGCATATGTAGCGTTAAGAGGTCTGTCCTGGTGACTGTCTTTGGGATTTCATTTTGATTCCATCAAATTAGGAAAAGAAATGACTTAGTTGTGTGTGATTAGCTAGAGATTTTTGGAGCCAGACACCTGCTGTTTAGTAGATACTTAGTACAGTGTCTATAACTTGTCATTTGTTTTTCTCACAGAATAACAAACCCTTTCCTGCTGTCTTCCCAACTACCGATGCCCTTTCAATAATACTCTTGCCTCTAGAATCATCTGTTCAAAGTATGCATACACACCTAGCACGTAGTAGGTGCTCAAATATTAATTTCCTTCTGACCTCCCTTATCTATCGTGTATCCTCCATTTCCCCATTTGATTCCAACCCACTAGTAAATGATATTTACATGTTATAAAAACACCTATCAGGTAAAATTGGATTGTACTTGGATAAAGGAATTCTCACTTTCATATAAGCTTTGGGAGACAGAAAAACAAAAAACAGGGAGGAAGATTATTCTTCAGTAGAATATTTTTAAGTTTAGGAAGTAAGATGGAAAATTACTATGTAACTTTGTTCAGGTTACTTTGACTGAAACACATTTTTGGTGGATTTCTTTTCCTCAAAGAACTCTCTAAATGCAACTTTTTGCTGGCTCCTCGCCTGTCATCATGTTGGAAACCCTTACTAGACCTATGTATTTAGGGAGTTTTGTCAGAAAACATTTTTAACTTACAGTATTTAAAAAGATCATATTTACTGTTCTTAAAATGTCATTCAAATGCATGTATTGTCTATTGTTTGGGGATGGGAACTAGTTTTGCAAAAAACACCTAATGTTGTATAATAATGCCCCAATGATCTTGCTGGTTAAAAATACAGTATTTTTGGCCATAATTTTGTACTACGGTATTCTTCATTCTTGAGTTTTGCTTCTCTTGAAGGTGCCTAAGCCTCTCCCAGAATGTTTTTTATTATAAGGAGTATTGGAATAAATCCTTTTTTAAAACAGTTTATACTGCACATGCATTTTCCAGAGTAGATAGGTTTAATAGTTTCTAAGCGAACACACAAAAAAATCTTTTCTGTGTATAATCAGGAATTTTGGTCTCCTTTAGCAGAAATATTTATATTGATAGTATTTATCAAATTTAATTAAAAAAAAAAACTTGTTCTAATTTAGGTTGCAAGCAACTGTAAAAACAAATTTAAACAGCTGCTCAATAAAGACTTGGGAAAAGCCGCCTATCTTCAATCGAAGGCCATCTTCTAATTAGGAAAAAGAACTGGCCTGCAGAGGCAGATGGGTGGCTTCGAGTTTCCGGGTTTCAGCAGTAGGATGAATGAGTCCACTCCAGGTGGGAAACAGGACCTGGTGTAGGTGTCCTTTATGTCTGTGACTTAGAAACACCCATCTAGGCTTTTGAGATCAGCTAAAAACTAGCTTTTCTTTCTCTAGCAATTTTGTGAAGCTGGGATGATGGCAGCAAGTGTTTCTCTAGAAAATTGGTGCTTATGTAGGAGGAACTTAAAACCATAACAAAAGCAAAACTTTTTCCTGCTACTTATCAGGTCTTTCCAACTGGCAGCCCAGCCCTTCCTTGCTTATGGAATTTTGTGCTTTGCAGAATACTGTTCCATCCAAGTACTTTATAGAAGAAAGTGTCATTTTTACTTAAAAGCCTTTGGTTTAAGACTCTCCTATTCTTGCATATCTTAGAGACCATTTCCAGTCAGTGGTCTCTAATGGATCTTTCTGGATCTTACAGTTAAGGGAATGGTTTGACTGGGGACCGTCATTTCGTACAAGCGTGGAGCAATTGGTTCCCACAGCCTCTCTGCTGAGGAATTGGGATGTTTGTTAAGCAGACCCCCGGGGCACTGGGGCTTGGCCACTCTACAACCTTGGTCCATCTGTATCATCATCTTGAAGACCTTTAGCCCGCAGGAAAAAAACAGGAACTCACTGAACGTTATTTGAGCCAAATATTTTAACGACCTTTTGACTCATAGAGCAAGCCCGCCTAGTCACATTTTTTTTTTTGTCCTATCCTTCTGGAAGCAATAAAATAGTTGGTCCCAAAGCTTCTCTGCCTTGCTCTTCATCTCCCCTGCCTCCTCTCATTTTTCTCTTAGGTTGTGATAGCCCAGTGCTGCCTCTTGAGAAAGCGATTAAACCATAGCAAAAAGGTGGGGGTGGAACTTGATGCTAAGGAACAACAATGGTTCATTTGATGATGTATACAGAGCAATTTCTGATGGTAAATTAGCCAGTGTCTTGCTTTTCTCTTTTGTTGTCTAATTTTGAGTTATTACCATGCTCATCAGTTACTCCATACTTAAAGCCTCTATTGAAATTTTGATCAGGGTTGGAGAGTACAAGGCAGTGGTTAAGGGTGGGTTTATGGTTGGTTGGTTTTCTTTTGTTTTAAATTATCTATGCATTACCATTCCTTTGTTTCATTGCCATGGCTAATTAAAATATGGATCCAGCTATTGCAAGAAAATGAACTCAGTCTATTTTAAGGGAGCCCCCTAGGTACCTGCAAAACAAGGCCTTGGTTATAAAATGTAGGTCTCTTTAAAAATCTAAGATGCACAGGGAGTTCTGAAAAGATTCTTTTTTCTTTGAATTCTTATGTCCCAAGACTTGAAATCTGACCTGTATTAATTTTCTCTCTTCCTGTTTTCTTCAAAAATGTGAAGGCCAGAGCATTTTTCTGTCCCATAAGCCTGTGAGTAAAATAAGGCAACTTACTCTCTTTAATTAAGAGAGTAATTAAACAGAACCAGAACAAATTGCTGATGGCGGGAATCCCTTGGCGCCGGCCTTCCACAGCCCTGTTTTGGCCCTCTGCAGCCCTGGAAATGTTTGTGCAGCTTAGAGAACCATGGGCCTGTCCCATCTAGATGGACTGCATGAAGGGCCCCTGGGACTTTCACTCTGTTCCCAGTTTGCCCAGTATACGTGTATGGTGGATATTTAAAGCATCTTTAGAAATGAGAGGACCAGGAAAAGACAGACTGACAAATGAAGCTTGGCAAACCCTAGGCGACTGCACATGGGAATTCCACGCTGTGTCCCCAGCTGCCACGTTTGTGTCTGCTCTGGGGTGTGCCTCACCTAGGACGCTATGCCTGTTAGAAATCCGCACTGCCTGCCACATACTGTCCAGTCAAGGCACCAGCCAAGGCACACCTGAGGTGCAGGGCCCACATAAAAGGTTGTAGTGGCGTTGATTATATTCCCGGGATCAGAGCAGCATTAACAAAGAGGCCCGCTTTCTCTTTGAGGAATACGAAAGGCCCCACCCCAGTGGTATCATGGTTAACAATGGGCAGTGGGGGTTGGGGGTAGGACTGTGGTACAGATCTGTAGTGTGCTGATTTCTGTGGTGTAGATAAATACTCCCACCATGCCCAATTTTAAGCTACTGATCATGATGTCACTGAACTCGGAGTTGGGAAGAGATGCTAACAATGGTCTCTCTCAAGTGTTCCTGCAGGCCACCCTCAGTCCCTTAAGACAACACCTTTCTCTAAACCTGGGAAAATGGCAGGGCAAGCCTACTTGGCTTATTGTACCCAGAGCCTATGCATTCCCTCCCCTTGTGACCTGGAGCTAATTACCAAAGTGCGTCGTGTTCATGATGGGCCCAGAGAAGTGGCAGTTTGACCAGAAACATGAACTATTTAAACTCTCCAAAGGAGCGGCAGTGATGGCTAGCCAGGAAGCTGAGGAGTGAGAATGCACAATCAATTTGGACGTCAAATTTACGTAACACTTTGAGAGTGTGAGTGTGTGTGAGAGTGTGTGAAATGTCTGAGTGTCTCCAAGCAGCTCAGTCATTGCTGAACAAAGAGAAAAAGCTTGTACAAATGTTCATGTCAGTTGGGTGACGAGATTAATTCTACATCTTTTAAACACCAAACTTTATATATATGTGGATAGACATGTAGAATCTAAAAATGGTTCGATCTTGAAGTTTTATACACATGCAAATACACATGAGTATACACGGTCAGACTTGCTTATCCCTTGGTTATTAGAAGCATTTTAACTCACAGAAAATGTCTTCGTATTGACACGATCAAGACAGAAAAGATTATAAAATCGACGGCTAACATTTTCATTTTTTTAAAAATTTTCTCTTGCCAGTCTTTCCAGGTGCCATCTTCAGAGAGCTCTGCCCTATCTAGGAAGGAACACCTAATTATAGCAAATTAAAAATGCTTTTTAAAAGGGCAGATGAAGCTAGGCTGCAGCTTGGATGTCTCTGAGCCATGAGGGGCTGTGTTTCCAGCAGAGGCAGGGAGGAAGGGTCTCTGAGAAGGTGTGGAAGCTGGATGAAATCTTATCTAAATTACAGAAGCCAGGCCTGCACGATTTAGGGGCACTATCACTGTTTGATGTTATCATTTCCATTCCTGAGTTGTCTTTGTGCAGGTTGCTCACTTCCCATGGAGGATGATGAATTCCCAGGACCCCAGGCCCATACCATACAAATGCCTGTACAGAACCACAGACTCAGATCCATGGGGTTTGGGGGCTATGCTCTTGTGTCACTTTTCTCAGACTGGCTGAGGGTGGCCGCCCTTCCATGTCTTCTGGTCCACACAGAGGTTGCTGCAGACGGTTCTCTTTCAGGTCAGGATCTGCCTGCATCTTTGTAGCATTCTCCAGTCACAGATCAGAAACCAAAAGTCCACAACTCAGGAGTGACACTCAGCCAGTGTGGGACAGGAGTTGGTGCATACGTTCTGCAGCTTCTGGCCCTCAGTGGTCAAACCTTAGGCTTGTTCTACATTCTCTCTCTCAGAGGGTCCCCAGCAGGCCCCACTTGTTGCCTGAACCCGCTCGTTAACGCACCTCTTATTGGCCTTCCTCCTTCCCTGCCTCACTTCCACACTCTCACTATGCAAATAATCAACTTGCAGCAAAATCTTTTACAGGGTCTGCTTTGGGGGAAATCCCAGCTAAGACAGTAAGGCGATCCAGGGATGGCTTTCATGTGTGGGGAAGCACCCGCGGGGACTTTTGTCAGGAACCCGTCACAAGTGAAGCTAATAAACAGTTTGCCCTCAATGAACTCTCAACAGCAACTGATGATTGAGGTCCAAGATTAGCACCTGGCACCCTCACAGGAAATGAATTTGCTGCATGCCACCTCCCCCCCCCAGTGGGAGACTATCTATATCAATAATAATATATCTATGGGAAAAAAATGCACCTTTGCCGGGAAACTACCACCAGAGCATTTTTAAAAATAATCATTTTCAATTGTTGAAGAAAAGTGATGCAGACATTTCAAGCTTATTGCCGTTCTGTTTAGTGGCTTCTTTACTCCTTCCCTCCATGCGCCCAGCCCCGGCTCCGGGATGAGTCCCCACATCAGCCCTGACTAATCGATTCCACGTGTCCCGCCAGCTGCCTCCTTGGAGACACGAATGCTCTTTTGTCTTGCTCACCCCGCCAGTGGATGATGCTGACATAGAGGCAGAAAAGAGGAGAGAATATTTCGTCAGAGAACTGGCACATATGGTGACATTTAATTGTTGGGAGAAAAATCAGAAGAGGTAACATATATTGAAAACTATTACAAAAGTAAAAGAACATTATCCAGGTCATGTTCTGAAAGCAAGTGTCTGCCTTCCTTAAAAAAATAAAGAAGAAGTTTCTCTAATTTTTGACGGTTGGTAAAGGTATATCCTTAGAAAGATAAATTAAGGAAAGTATGTTTCAAATCTTGATGAAACAGGACTTTAAAATGAGAGGCTGTCTGCCAAAGCAAAAACCATTATGCCACAGTTATATTAGTACTAATGTCTGAATATATTGTTTTAAAGTATGTTGGAATGTACTTAAATTGTAGTTAGCTATCTAATTACTTTATTAA